ATTATAGGCCTAGTAATAGAATAGTTATTAAGCGTAGAAGGTTTTAAGCTTAATGTTCCTTGCCAAGACACTAAGTTAAGATTCTTTACTAGGGCTCTAGCAGCCTGAATATTAGAAAATACAAGAATATTATTCAAGAATAGTAGGTAAACCAAGAATTCTACGCCCAGGCCTGCCTGTGCTGCAGTGTGTGCTTGTTGGCAGGTGCTTTGTGGTGTGCTGTTGCAGCTGCAGCTGATACATTGTGTGCTGGCGCAGCTGCAGCTGCTGCGGTGTGCTGTCGCAACTTCAAAACACAAACCTTCAACAAACAAACCTTCAACGCTCTATAACTTGTGTTGTAGTAGGCCTACAATAATAATTTTTTGCTTATTTTAAAGCTACAATTTCGCTCTATCTGTACGTGAAATTTCGTAATTTTTAAATATTTAATACTAGTGCTAGCAGAACTAAGGGTAGCCATGTAACAACATTGCAACGTTATTTTGAGTTTGTTGAATATAGGCACTTAGCGTTTTGGCTGTTAGCAACATTAGCGCGAAATTAGGGCCGTTGGGCGCAAATTGGGGCCGTTGGGGCCGTTGAACAGCTGTTGCACGACCATGCCACAACTGTCAGCAACAGCCAGTCTGGGCCGGATTTCGAAAAACTTTTCCCGATGTACTGCCTCGCCAATCAACACTGGCTGGGCAATTACGCCAGCAAGTAGAACAATTAGAGACCAACTTCTGACCCAAGAAAACCAGGAGCTTATAGTAGGAGCCCTAGGCGGAGACGCAATCAGAGTCCTAGAACACTGGATCAACTACGCTGTACAAGGAGTACCCAGCTTGTTCTGGACTCTAGACAGCACAGAACTACCTACTACCACCTAGCTAGTAGAAGAGGAGGTCTGCTCACAAACAGGCAAGCAGCCAGTTAGCTGCAGAACCTCACAACACAGGGCCAACTAGAACAGCCTAACCACCTAGATTATATCATACAAGGAGCTAGTCTGCTCATTCCAGCTCTTTAGCACTAGCTAGTTCTCTAAAGAAATCTACAAACACCCTGCTATACAGCAATATAATCTAGGCTGCCAACAATACTGTAATGCTGCCTACTGTACCTAAGTAGCCTGTTGTGCAAACTATGGCGACTGTACAGATAGACACTAAGGGCTCTATAGGGTTAACTGTCCTTACAAAGCCAAGTGTGCGAATTGCCATAGCCTGCACCTAGCTAGTTACTCTAACTGCCCTGCTGCCCCTCGCTGGGTGCATGGACACATAATTAAGCCCACTATGACTAAACTGAACGCTATCTGCCGCGCAGGCAGAGCGACATACCAGCATCTCTACAGAACAGTAGAAGAGACCCTTAACCAGGCGACGCTGCAGCATGAGGATACCCCCCTAGAGGCCGTCCAGGAGATACCGGCCCCCCACCCTCCTCCTCAAAGGCAAGCACCAGAGGAGGAGAGCAGGGCAGCTACAAATGGAACAAGCAGCGCTTCTCAAGCATCTGCACCCACCACTAGCAGAGAAAAGAGACCAAGACGGGCGGCTGCAGGCCGCACGAACCTGAATGTGAAGGACATGTCTGCCAACAGTCTGCGCCTACAATTAACTATCTACACTAACCCCTCAACCTTAGAGAGGGAGGACACTAGCATGAGCGATGAGCCACCATCCACATGTTAGGACACCCACACACACCTTCCGCCCGCAATAGGCATCGACAGCCCAGCTAGCTGAGACACCAGCTCTGCATATGCTGGGCCAACGTCGGCAGAAGCTCACCCTGCCACATTACAATACTAGAAGTGGCCTTCCAGAAGGGCATGGACGTTGTATGCGTCCAAGAGCCTTTTACTTGTGCTAACTCAAGGACCTCTACCTACCCTAGCTTTAGACACCTCGCACCTATCAGCACCTGGGACGCTCCTAACGCACTAGGCTCAGCCTGCCCTAGGGTGATGACCTATATACGCAAAGGGCATCACCTAAAACTGCAGGCCAGAGAAAGCCTTAATCACCCAGACCTGCTGTGGGCTGTTGTGAATGGAGTCTTAATACTAAACTGCTACAGACAGCCACTTACCCCAGACGTACTCCAATACGTCACGCATCTCACATCCCCCCAACACTGCGTTATAGGAGGGGACTTCAACGTCAGACACGAATCCTTCGAACCCACTGTTTCCGCAGCTAGCGGCGGCATAGAGCTCGCCAGGTGGGCCGCCGCCGCCTCTATGGACTATATTGGCGTGCCAGGACAGCCGACACACTGTGCTGGACATGTCATTGATCTCACCTTCTCTAATGTCCCGTTCGCTCAGTCTGCTGTAGATGCTAGCATGCACAGCGGGTCAGACCACGAGACAATTGTAACCTCTGTCACTACTTCCACACCTAGTACTCCGCACCTAGACCAGTATCACTACAGAGTCCTAGAGGCAAGCCTACCGAAGTTCACTGGGCTAGTGGAAATAGGCGCTCAGAGCATTCCAGATCCGCGTGCGGCACAGGATGCGGCAGAACTAGACAACTGTGTCGCGCTGCTGACAGAGACTGTGCAGCACTCTATACAAACAGCAGGCAAGCCTGACCGCAAGGAAGGACGCGCTGCGCCGTGGTGGACCAAGGAGTGCAAGACTGCTTATCAAGCCTAC